ACAGTTCATGAAGAGCATTCAAGAACACTTCATGAACACTTGTTCATGAACCATAGGTAAAATATTTGATGAGCGGAGCATGAACTGTTCATGAATTTGCATGGCGTTCATGAATGCACCATCAAAGTTCATGACTTCATGAACAAATTTTCGCCGGGGAGAACATGTCATCTTTCAGCTTGTGATGAAAATAAAAATAAAAATTAATTAATTTATTTAATTAATTAATTTATTTAATTAATTAATTAATTCAATCTATTTTAATTAATTAATTAATTAATTTTAATTAATTTGATTAATTAATTTTAATTAATTTGATTAATTAATTTTTAATTAATTAATTAATTAATTTTTAATTAATTAATTAATTAATTAATTTTTATTTAATTAATTAATTATTTTTTTTGAATTAACGTAGTATTAGAAATGTGTATTTTGAGAAGGCCAGAGGCATATAGTGGTCGGATTTTTAACCTACTGTGCTATCAATTATAGTATCATTATTTTTATGCTATCAATTGTTGTAGTAAATTTAGGTATTGCGTTTCATAATCAACCAAGTTCAATCCATTGTCTTCATAGGTAAATTATTAGAAAAACCCAGTAACCCCCCCCCCCCCTAATCGGAATGCCCTCGGTACATTCCTGGAGAAGGCCCCCTTCGAAATAAAAAAATAGCGCGTTTTCTTATCTTTTCAAAACAAACTTTATTTCTTGACAGTAGTACAAGTGCAAGGCTGAACATGGGAATTTTTAATGAAATCGAATGTAAACATGTTAAAGAACTGCCATTCGATATTGACGGCTTCTGTCATTTTCAACTTGAATGTGATCCATCGAATATTATGAAATCTAGTAAAGATGGTCGACGTTGGAAAACGTGGTGTACGTCTAAAAGAAAAGAACATCGCGGAGTGAGGAGAAGAGCAAGGTGTGGGGGATCATGGAAATGTCCCAACGAAGATTGTTTGTTTCTAAGGAAAAAAGGCTCACCCAACGATGTCCAGTTTACGAACAATGGGACCGGGAAAAAGTGTTTTATCTGCGAAGAAGAGGCTATTTTTGTGGAGTGCAAAGCTATAAAAGTTTGGGAGTTTAGTTCAGACAAGAATCTCGTTGACATTTACCATAGTGGAATGCATACTTGCCATGCGATTCCAAATCGGCGAAATGTACATGTAGAGCAAAAGCTAAAAGTTGATTTCACGAAGCATTCTTCATTGAAACCCTCGGAAGCTGTTGCTAACACACTGGTGTGTGCATTAAAGGAAGGCAATACATGGGAAGAAATTGACGCGTTGGCCGAAAGTCTGGCGGACTCCCGTCGCGTACAAGACACAAAAGCGAAAGCAACGAAATCGTTAGAGAGTCACGGGCACTCTTTTGATGCGCTTTGTGAATTTAAGAAGTTTTGTGACGAGAGAGATCCTTATCTATTGTATCGTTTTAACGACGAGCGACAAAATGGTAACAATACGTTTGTCTTCAAATGTTCCAGATTTCAAGCAAACCTTGCGATGAGTATGGATTGTGAAAAGACTGGCCTTTTGCATGACCAGTATTGCTATGCTGATGCCACACACAAACGTTGTCCCGGGTTTAAGACCATAACCCTCTGGGTATATCACCCTTTACTTCGAAAATTGGTAAAGCTCGCTACAATGGAAAGTACAACTGTAGATACTGAAGCCATGGTACAGTTTTGGTCTCTATTTAACGAGGTACAGTATAAGATCCTTATGTCATTGACAACTAGGTCCAGGCTATTACATTTCACTTATTTATTTCAGGTGTTACAGGATGTATCTGGTGACAAGACGTATGTTTTTAATCCTGCTGGATGGGTCTTAGACGAAGCCGGAGCTGAGTGGAATGCTATCAGAATTGTATTTGGAGAGGATGCTATGGCTAAAGTTGTATCGTGCGAATTTCATTACAAACAATCGGTTGGTCGTAAAAGTGGGAAGTTGGATGATAAGCACAAGGCAGAATTTGAAGCTCTCGCGTGGGCGTTAATGGAAGCAAACACGGTGAGCGTTTTTGAGAAAAAACGAGCGGATTTGAATCGCTTTATTAAAAATAATGCTGCTTACTCCAGTGTACTCAACTCTTGGGTTGAATGGTGGAACAATAGGAAAACTCACATTTTTCGAGCTTTTAAAACCACAATGAAAACGCTGAATATGAACATGGCAGAAACTGGTCACTCGACATGGGTTAAATCAGGTGCAATTCATCTCACTTTGGTAGACGCAGCGAGACATGATGTTGGAGAGAACGTTCGTCTGGAGAAGACGGTTCAAGGTTTCATGGAAGGGAGTCTTCGTTCTTCGGGAAAAGGTCCTAGCATTAAAGGAACGGAAAAAAAGGAACGGAAAAAAAGGGACGTGAAAGTCAGATAAAGAGAGTGAGGGAATTCGGCGAAGAAGTGTTAGACGAAGATTTTGAAGGTGATCCGTACTCTGTCAATGATGCTTATAGTGTAGTAGATCCAAAGGCAACACATAGCCCAACTAAACGGGGGAAAAAGTCCAAAAGTTCGGGTAAAGGGAAGCAAAAGGCATCATCTAAAACGTGGACGAAGCAAGAATTGAAAACCATCAAGAGCGCTAAGTCAGAAGCCAGCGAAATGTCAATAACGAGAACAGTTAAAATAGCCAGTGATCATGCAAAGTTTAGCGTTACACACGGAAAGAATACTTACGATGTTGACATTTGCCACACTCCTTCCTGTTCCTGTCCAGACAATCGTCCTCGTCCTTGCAAGCACATCTTGTGGGTATATTTTTATGTCTTAAATATAAAGGAAGACAATTCATTGTTACGTGAGAAGAGACTTACAAAGGACGTGCTGCAATCAATTTTGTCAAAGATGGCGGTTCAAGAGAGTTCTGGCATCACCATTTCCTCTAACGATAACCAGAGCCTACACCTAAACCAGGAATCAGAATCACAGCAGACATCAAATCGCGAGACAGTGCACAGTAGTCCACTATTTTCGTCTTCTTCAACATCACATATCTCATTGCAAACCGGTTCGGAAGAAACCATACCTGTATATCACCACCCTGCACAGAGATCAACGAATTACGAAAACGTGCACCCTCGTCCACTATTTTCCTCTCCGCCATCTCGTACCTCAATGCAGACAGTCTTACAAGAAACCATATATCATCACCCACAACCATCAACGAGTTATGAGAGCATGCATGCTAGTCCACTAACTTCATATCCTTCAACATCACCAACTGCCTCAATTCCACTTCCTCGACCTTTAGTAGTTAGTCAAGGTATTTACATGTTATCACTTCTTGGCTGCTGTCATCCAAGCGTCTCGGTGTGCTATGGCTGCCCAAATCCTCTTCAAGTAAACGGCTACAAAACACCACCACCATATGATCTTGTGATAGTTACTAAAATGAGACGAGAGTTTCCTCACAATGGAACAAAGTGGAGCAAGTTGGGAAACGTCTATTTTCACGCCAACTTTCAGTGCTTACGTTCTCGTCTTCCGTTCTTCTCTTCAGAGATGGTGCAACTACAGCCTGGCATTGCTTCATACCTTCAGCCTATTCACAAGCAAGCTCTTGCACATAATTTAGGATTGCGTTTGTAGTGAATTTGTTTGAACATGACAAAGGTCGTTCTCGTACTGTTGTGTTTTAATTTTGGCATTTTGTTTTCTGTTTTTATGTGGAAGTGGGTTAAATGCATTAAAAGAGACCTTAGCAAAGAGATTAATATTATTATATTGATGGGAATAATTCTTTTCTACAATATAGTCCGAGAAAACAAGCATAGGCCCATACTCGGATTTTGTTATCAAATCTCTACTTCGCTATTACTATTATCATGCTATTATTCACTTGATAGACGATAATTCTTATAAGTAATATCATGAAATGAGGAGAATAATGTATTAGCCTTTATTTAAACTGTCCACCCGATGAGGATCATTAATGTCTCAATCATTTCCATGGGTGCCTACCCCCCCCCCCCCGGGCGTTTGTCGGGCATTGTCAACTGTACTCGGTTAGCCCCGGGCTGGGGATTCATTATTAGACAGATTTAAATCGAGGACGCGGATGTCAAAGATGACGTGAAAATGGTGTGTTGTGCCCATGTATGAATATGCCACGCCATTTTGACGCTATTTTCACGTCGTCTTTGATGTCCGCGTCCTTAATCTAAATCTGTCTATTGATACGAGATAGAAGTCCTCAGAAAACGTATCTCTTGTCTTATATTTTGTCCCCAAGCCCACCCAGCATTTGCGTCAATGTAAGTCCACATTGGTGGGGATTTTGTTCCATTATTTTGACCCCATTGTGGGGCATTTGCAACGTTTTTCCCGCCAATAGGGGGAGGAATGAGCACCCATGGAATTGATTGAGACATATGTATTTCATGCTGTTGTAAATTAGGCTCCGTTTACACTATACCGGATTACTTTGCATACTGAGTAAAAAACAAGGGTGTTTATGCACACTATGCTGCTTCGCTCACGCCTTTCACTGTCGCCGTGGAAACAAGCAACATTTTTTTCCAATATAGTAAAATTTATTAAAAACAAGAAGTAACACCCTTTTTTTTTTATAGTATAACTTTGTTTAAAAAGCTCGACTACCAGACGTTGCTTTGTTTCGCTCTGATCCAAAATTGACGAGTATTTCTTTAAGTTTTGCTCTTTCGAAAGCGAAAAGTCAAAGTTATTATCTTTTTTTTATTTGCCTTCGCCAGAAATAGGAAATGGTTGTAAGGCGAAACAAACAACAGCTATAAAGTATTGTAAAAGCGAGAAACAAAGGCGACAGTGACCTTTGCGACAATGTCAATGTTAAAACTACCCTGGATTCCAGAGCCTTTGACAGTAAATAATAAATTGAAACGTCGCGAAGGCTCTGGTTCAACGGGGAGATTCTTTGATTAAACCGCGCCAATCACAAAACAGAATTAGTGGTTTTAGTACAGATTCTGTACTAAAACCACTAATTCTGTTTTGTGATTGGCACGGTTTAATCAAAGAATCTCCCCGTTGAACCAGAGCCTTCGCGACGTTTCAATTTATTATTCTGTACTAAAACCACTAATTCTGTTTTGTGATTGGCGCGGTTTAATCAAAGAATCTCCTCGTTGAACCAGAGCCTTCGCAACGTTTCAATTTATTATTTACTGTCGAAGGCTCTGGGATCCAGGGTATGTTAAAACATACACAAAACAAAACCGGATTAGCCAGGCCTGTTTCAGCACATACCAGATTACTTTTCATATCACCTCCAAAGCGGAGTGATTTTTCTCCACATTGCATACTGGATTGCTGTGGCGTAGTGTAAACAGCAGCCGAATCTGGTATGGTATGAAAATCGCTACGCTCCGATGCAATCCGGTATAGTGTAAACGGGGCCTAATTTCATGCTGTTATAAATATACCGAGTTTGTAATAAGATATGCTTTTTGTGTTTATATTAAACGTTTTTTATCTTTTGTGCTCGAGAATTTCTTTTCAGCTATTTTTTTTCAAAATTGGGTGATACACAGTGTCATTTTCCGAAAAAAAAAACAAAGAAAAATATCCAACTTCAAATCCAACTCAAAGTCCAACTCGAACTCGAACTCGAATCCAACTCGATGTTACCTAACTCCCAACAAAATGGTACTGAATGAGATCAATATGTCAATGCGGTATAGAACACTGTTCAGAAAACTTTGCTGTGCGGATGCGATCAAATATTCATGAAACATTTATGTTTAGCATCTTACTGGTGCACCTCAGTAAACTTTAAGCCAAACAGTTATAATATCTAATAAGACATTTATTGTAGTTTTTCCCCCTTAAAAAGATGGTGAAATAGTTACCATCCAGGACATTCCTGAACAAACAGTCTAAAGTTAGAGTTTTTCCTTTGTACATAAATCTAAATGCGACTCCCTAACCAGCATTTGGTCCAGTGTCTGGAGAACTACTTGCCAGTAATTTTGATAGTTGTAATAATTTCATATCACCCCATCACCTAAGTCAATCATTGTATAATTTCTTCTTTATTGCTAATTACAAAATCTCTGTTCTTATCAGCTTAATATCTGATATGTTAGGCAATGCCTAACTCATATATTAAACTGATTTTTGGACTTCGGCCATGGGATTGAAGCTTGCTTCGCCCTGGCCACGGGTTGCCTCGGTATTGCACTATATCCGAGTACTGCCCCTTCCCCACTCGGGGAAGAACACTTTTTTATTTCAAAAACAAATCAAACTATAAAACAATCTCTAGGTTATTAAACGATTACACAACACACTTAAAAGTACACGGGGCTTTTCACATGCCGATAGATTATTAACACCATACTTAACTACCGAATACCACTTGAAAATAATCTCTGCTTTCTCATGCATATATAACATACATATCATATGACTTGTAACACTTTATTATTATTATCCTATGTCGATATTTTACACCTTGTGAGTGTGTTTTCATTCAACTATGGAACCAAATCAACTACATATAATTTGACTAACAAACTTTTTCATTCTCTAGATCGCGGCACATGATGTTCAAGACAAGAGGGAAACCCCCCAACCACCACAATTGCGTCTCATCATCATCGCGTATATAAGGTGAGCGGCGGAAACAACAGCATACTTACCTGACGGGAAAGGCACCTTGATCAACTAGGAGATCCTCTCAGGATGAGGCCCTTTCATTGCACTTCGACTGGGCGACCCTGCGATTACCCCTAATGTGGGTAACTTGAGCATATAATTTCTGATAGTGGGCACCTGCGTTCGCGCTCATCCCCTTCAACATATATATTCATGTCTAAATGTACAAAGCTGGGTTTTTTTCTAACACTGCCGTGTGTCGATTGTTTTTGTATAGAATCAGATATCAACATACATATCCGATTTATCACAGAAGACACTCGATATATATTATATTCTCCATGTCGAAATCTCCATCTCGTGTTCATATTATATGGTAAGTAAAGCAAAACATGTTTATATCTTGTAAGCACTTCGAGTCTTTGCACACTATTGAATTAATTCACTGTGTAAAGTAACTTGCTTGCCAACAGAATTTCAATCCATCGCACGTACATTCCAAGTGCCGATTAACTGGCTCGTGTGTCACTCAAACGCACATGTAGTGCTTGTTCGACGAATAATCAAGTGCCTGTCGACGTCATAATCGCTCGCAAGCGAGCTCCTTCTAACCGCGTTTTCGTAGCACAAGTGTTCCGTAGAAATATGTGGGCTGAACGGCGAAGAAGGCATCGCTTCTTGGCCTTTTGGCTAAGATGCTGAGGGGAGGGGTTGCGGATGAAGGGATTCTCTGACATTACTGCAGAGATCCACAATGTCTGACGCACTCTTTCTGGAAGCATCGGCGCTGAGGGAGCCCCGGGGTTGGGGGGAAACCGAGCTGCACTGCGATCAAACCTTGGTCATATTGCACTAAGTTGGCCAAGTGAAATCAGCACGAGTGGTATGGGACCATTGCATCGCTAGCTTCTCCTGGCAGTGTCTCCGAAGCCGCTACTGATCTTCCAAAAAGAAGATCAAGTGTAGTCTTAGTGCTCTATCTAATTTTCCAAATTTTTAGCCAAATTTTTGTTTATAAGGCCTGAGTTATATATTAAATTGTTTGTAAAAGTCTCGTGAACCTGTTTGTTGGATTTAGAAATTGTTACTGTATCGTTTTAAAGTTTTATTTGGATTTATTTGTATACTTTGGAATAATTGTTATCTGTACGCTGTAAATTCCGAAATTTGGATTTTGGCTGATTTCTCGCGGAATACGTTCTGGATTCTGGTGAAATTTACGCTGTGATCTACGTTTTGTGTGTATATTATCCTGTGAAAGTTTGGTATTCGTGCGGCGTATTGTTTTGGAGTTATATGGATTTGTTCGTTTTGGCCGTTAAATAATTTTTGAATTCAGACCCGTCTAATTTGTTGTGTTCGTATCGTCGTCTCACGTAATATTTGCATCCCTCGTTTGCCAGTTCTGCTATTCGTCGCTGGATTCAGTTTTGTTTCTTTATTGGGAACATTTTGATATATAATTCTGTACTGTTGTGTATTATTTTCGTACTGTTTTACGTGTTTTTGGAGTCGCGGACTGTTCAGTTTGTATGAATATATCTAGTGTTTACATCCCGCTGCAACTAAACTTTCGCTTATAACTTTGGTGTTGTTTCAGTTTTACGCTTGAAACTTGCAAGATATATAGTTACCTGGTTATTTAACATCCTCAGCGAGTTTGGTGTCCATAGCTTCTAAAGAATTTAAACTACGGGATTATTTACGCATTTTCCAACTGTCACTTTGTAATTTAATCTGTCGCATAATTATTATTCAAATTTCCGAGTTCCAAAATAAGGGGAATTCCCATACTACGCTATACATCGCCTGCGATATTAATTGATAGACGGTGATATTAGTGGGTGTTTGGTGCGTTTTTTACCGGATTCTCTTCAGTCTAATCATTTATATTTCGCATTGTGGTTTCATGTATTGTGTTGTCTTTGTTTTGTTTGCATAATCGTTATGAATGGTGATACTAATGATCATAACTGTACTAATAGTTCTTATAAATGCAATGAATGCGAATTTGTCTCGGACTCGCAGGGTGGCCTCGGAGTTCATCGTGTGAAAAAACATAAAGCTAATGGATGTGATAACATCAATTCTGTCTCGGTTGTGTGTGAATACCCTCAAGGGAAATCATTCTATTGCTGTATTTGCAATACCATTATTAAATCCTGGCCCAACTTCAAGAGACATTATAAGAACATTCACCCCAATATTCCATTGACCGCTTCCGCCGTATGCACCCTATGCAATAGAGTCTTTAGCGAATTAAAGGGCGCTGGTGTACATATGAAACGCGAACATGACATTTCTTCCTCGTCAGTTATTCCTCCATCGTCTCCGTCTCCAATCATGTCATCAGTTAATTTTGCTGATAGTCAACCATGTAATGATTCGTGTGCACCGGAGTCAACCGTTTCTGCTACATCTCCACCACCTGTTCGTCGGACATCTAAGAGACGGCGCCGTAGTCATAAGTTATTACCTACTAATCAACCGCCCAATTTTCCTTCTATCACATCCCCAAATGGTATCCCATCAACAAACCTACCCTCCTGCCGTTCCACCCCCTTATCCCAAATTCCTTCTACCAACGATCCTGTTCTTGAACCAATGGTCGCCTTAATTGGTTGTACTGCTGTTGAAAGTATCCCCCTCATACTAAATTCCCCTCCTTCCTCCGAACCTCTTGATTCAATGGTCTCCTTAATTGGTTGTACTGATGAGGATAGAATCCCTAATGCTCCTGACTCCCCCCCTGATATGGAAGTTGTTATTAATCCTTTGGTCGCCTTCATTGGTAGTACTGATGAAATATCAACGTCCCATAACCCCGATTCCATTCCTACCGTTTGTGCCCATGCCCACAAAGTTCCAGACCCTGTCATTTGTGATCTCTCTCCTGATGATGATGATGATGATGATCCGTTTGATATCCCCCCACCCCTTTCCCCTCCTCGTCCGTTGTCCCAATTCTCATTCCTTAATCCTCCTCCCTCTACATCTCCCTCCTCATTATCTCAGTCTCTAAATCCCAATGCGCTGAATTTTCAACCAACCCAAAATGTTACCCTTTCTCCTCCTCCTGGTGTTATTCCAACTTCACCCATCAACTGTTCCACTATTCCCAATGTTACCGATCCTGGCCAAACCAATGCCTCATCCGATGAACCCACTGCAGTTTCTACAGAATTCGTTGAGAAATGGTCGTCTTCTTTTGCTGCCAATACCAGCTGGCAAGAATTCTCCGAACATTGTAATCAGTTCGCTAACGACGTCATTTCCGAATGTGATAGAAATTTTCAGAGTAAGAAAAGAGCTGTCCCTCGCCGCCCTGCTCGTCCTTCCGCAAGACCTGTCAACAACAACCGCAGGCCATTACGCTATAATCCTATTGAAGCTAGAAGGATCCAAAGTTTATATAGGATTTCCAAGAAGCGGGCTGCGAGACAAGTGATCTGTGATAATAAGCCTTCTTACTCTGGCTCGGTGGATGAGGCTAATCAGTTTTTCACTCGTGTATTTGGTGAGAAAAATGTTGATGTGGATGCGGTAAAGAAAGGTTTGGATGAGTTCGTCCCTTCTGGCCAAAAGATGACACTCTGGGCGATCCAATTACATCGGATAAAGTATCCAAGAAACTACGTTCCTTGTCGAACTCTGCGCCCGGTGCTGATAGGGTTGAATACCGTCACCTGAAGTCCATTGACCCGAAGGGAATGATCTTATGTAACATCTATAATCGATGTCTTCTCGAGAACGATGTCCCTGCACAGTGGAAAACATCTCGAACAGTTCTCATTCACAAGAAAGGTGATGCGAGCGATATATCCAACTTCCGTCCCATTGCACTTATGAGCTGCATATATAAGTTGTTCATGAGTGTGATGGCTGACCGTCTGGTTAATTATTCCATCGACAACAACTTCCTTTCCACCTCGCAGAAAAGCGCCAGACCCTCGGAAGGTTGTTATGAACATACATTCATATTGCAGTCCCTTGTCCTTGATGCTAAACGACATCAGAAAAACCTTTTCCTCTCTTGGTTAGATCTCCGTAACGCTTTTGGTAGTGTCCCACATGACGTCATCTCAATCACTCTATCCCATCTCGGTGTTCCTGACTCTGTGGTAAATCTTGTAAAGAACGTTTATACAAATGCCACCACCGAAGTTCGTACCCCAGCTGGAGTTACTCCCGGTATTGCCATCAACTCGGGTGTTAAGCAGGGCTGTCCTTTATCTCCCATATTGTTTAATTTATGCATTGAAATCATCATACGTGCTATCTCTGCAACAGGACATAATATCGGTCCAGCTAAACACTTCAATGGTGAGATTTCAGTTCTTGCATATGCCGACGATCTAGTGCTAATAGCTAAGAGCAAGGAAAAACTCCAACAACTTCTTGATGCGGCATCCTCCTCTGCTAATTTAATCGGCCTAGAATTCCGTCCGGACAAATGTGCTTCCCTTTGTATGACCTACGACAAGAAATTTCAGGATAACATCCAACTGTTCAAATTCCGTGTCCAAGACAAAGATATACCTGCTCTGAAAGAACATGAACACTATCGATATTTAGGTGTTCCTATTGGCGTTATTCATGATGTTGAGTGTCTTGAATCCCTAGTTGATGATCTCTGTAATGACCTGGAGAGAATAGAATCATCTCTGTTGGCTCCGTGGCAGAAACTGGATGCAATAAGAACTTTCGTCCAGCCATGTTTAACCTTTGCATTACGTGCAGGTGAGCCTCGGAAAGCGTCCCTGGCCAAATATAGAAAGAAACTAGTTGAAGTTGTTCGTGCTATATGTAACCTGCCCCTCAGAGCTACTTCCCATATCATCTTTGCTTCATCAAAAGTGGGTGGTCTTGGTTTTCAGGATCCATTGACGGAAGTTGACATTCAAACAGTCGTGCAAGCAATTAAAATGTTGTCATCCACTGATCCCTTTGTCTCTGCTGTTGCAAAAGGTGAGCTGAGTAGAGCGGTTAGATTTGCTGTGCAAGCAGACCCGTCCCCAGCATTGATCCATGATTTCTTGTCCGGCTGTACGAAAGGCAAATTCCATCCTGACCGCATGCGTTATCGCACCCACTCCCTGTGGACGAGAGCCAGGTCTGCCTGCCGACGCCTCGGAATTTCTTTCAATGTTCCTGATAACGAAGCACCTTCCATCTCCACCGACACCAAAGGCCCGTGCCTAGCGAGAGCTTCCTCTACATTCCTTCATCGCCTCGCCCAAGATCGTGCTTCTGCTAAGTTGACGGCCCTCCCTGACCAAGGAAAGGTTGCTCGAGCCCTAATCAAGGATGCCTTTAGTAATGGTTCGTCCTGGTTATTCAATGGCCTGAATATGAGGTTTAAGGACTGGCGATTTATTCATCACGCAAGACTGAACGTCGTACCAACTAACCAAAACAAATCACGTTGGTCCGATTGCTCTACCCTCTGCCGTGTTTGTAACTCCCACCCTGAAACCTTACCCCACATCGTCTGTCATTGCAACACCCACCTGGTTCAGATTCGTGATCGTCATAACACCGTTGTTGAACGACTCAAGAAAGCTGTCCGATACGGCTCCGTACGTGTTGATCAACAGGTTCCTGGTGTTGATGATGAGTGTCGTCCTGACATTCTCATCGATGAAGGACGTGAAGTTACCATCATTGACGTTACCTGTCCCTTTGAGAATGGTGATGATGCGTTGGCCACAGCCGATTACAACAAGCTCATCAAATACGATCACCTCAAGCAGCACTTCCATCAACTTGGTGTTAAATGTAACCTTTTCGCATTTGTGATTGGAGCGTTAGGTACCTGGCATCCGAACAACGAAGCCGTACTCAATCAATTGCGTATGTCGAAGACTTACAAATCACTCTTCAGAAAATTATGCTGTTCCGACGTCATCCGAGTATCTGCGGATATTTATTATAGTCACATGAATGACTTTCAATAGAACTTTAATATATTGAACGTTATATATTTATATATATTATAGTTATATATTATATACTAATTTGGTTGTAAAAAAAAAAATTCTTCTTCTTTGTGTCCTATATGTCTGATGCATGTACATGACACATATTGTTAATACCTTAGAGTTGGAACTTAATAGGAAAGAACTTTAATGATCTATGAATATTTGAACATTTTAGTTAATTATTAACTAGATGAACTTTTGGTTAGATTTCATTCTAATGAGTTAATTAGTTTTCTCATTCTTCTATACTGACATTAGCTGTGTGAATAGTATACTTTAAAAGTAATTACCTAGAAACTGTAAATAATATTACTTGATTTGAATAAATTTGTTACAATCTGTTCTTATCAGCTTAATATCTGATATGTTAGGCAATGCCTAACTCATATATTAAACTGATTTTTGGACTTCGGCCATGGGATTGAAGCTTGCTTCGCCCTGGCCACGGGTTGTCTCGGTATTGCACTACATCCGAGTACGGCCCCTTCCCCACTCGGGGAAGAACATTTTTTTTATTTCAAATCAAACTATAAAGCAATCTCTAGTTTATTAGACGATCACACACACTTAAGTACTTTTCACATGCCGATAGATGTATATTAACACCATACTCGAATACCACGTGAAATAATA